AGTTTTAAAGTTGCCAAGGTTAGACACCCCTGGTCTAAAGCCATCCCTGAAATGGCCAATTATGCCAGCGATAATATCCTTCTTTTGCTCCTCAGGCTAACAAAGGAGGAAAATCTTCGAATCTGACATTCAGAAAATGAGGGTAGATGTTATTTCACGGTCCCCAAAAGTGACCATTGGAGACTCTCAGCGCAAAAAAATCTCCTCCTTAGAAATGGTGCATCCAACCTCCTTGCTTGATTTAACAGGGACAGAGTTGGAAGGGACCTTGGAGGTCATCTGGTCCAACCCCCTGCTTACGCAGGTGACCTGTACTAGGGATTCGAACCGCCGAACTGCCAACCCTTCTGATCGACAAGCTCAGTGTCTTCACTGCTTTAATGGGGTCTCCTTCTACCTGCCCCCCCTTCCCCTTGCTTAATGAGAAAGAGAGGGGAGAGGCAGAATGCAACTACCTGAAAGCAAAGGATAATCAGTTTGCACCCGGATCTCCTTCCTTCTGCAGGTTTGAGGAAACCTCNTGACAGTGAGAACAATTAATCAGTGGAACAACTTGCTTCCAGAAGTTGTGAATGCCCCAACACTGGAGGTTTTTAAGATGTTGAATAACCATTTGTCTGAAGTGGTGCAGGGTTTCCTGCCTAGGCAGGGGGTTGGATAGAAGACCTCCAAGGTCCCTTCCAACTCTGTTATTCTATTCTATTCTTTAAAAAACAGTAACCGAGTTTAATTTTGGCAACTTTTAAGACTTGTGGACTTCAACTCGTAGAATTCCCCAGCCCGCCATGCTGGTTCTTCTTCCACGGGTTTAATGCAAGGGAACCTTAAAATGGCTTACTCGCTGGAGTAAGAAGGGTGGGGGAGGGGGGAAATGAAACACTATAGTGAGAGAAACATGAATCGCTGAAAAATGTCACACCCTGGTTCATAGAAGACAGGAGGCTCTGGTGTGGTTTTTATGATCTTGGCTTAGCACAACTGAGCCATTTGGGGCATATAACCTATGATTCAGGGCTTAGAATGCCCTGTGGGTTTATGGCCAAAATGTGGAGAAACATACTTGAGGACAATGGGAGAGCCCATGAAATACCACTTCATGAATCAATAGGTCTACCTTGATTGCAGAGAACCAAATCCCATTGTTTTTGCAAACAGCCTCCAGTGCCTCTAAGCGAGGAATACAGAAAGTACTGCAAAATGCAATGGAATATCATATATTGCACATAATGTCTTCTATGACAGTGTTTCTCAACGTTGGCCCCTTTAATACGAGTGGACTTCAACCTATAGAATCTGGGGAATTTGGGGAATTAAAGTCCACACATCTTAAAGGGGCCAAGGTTGAGAAACGCCTACTATGAGATAGATTTAGGGATGTTGCATTAATTTAATAGATGGATGGTGTCACAGAGAAAATAAGATCCATCAGGTGGATTTGTAATTGGCTTCCAACCCGCCTCCTTAATTCAAGCGATTGAGGTCAGACACAGCCGTCTTCACGTGTCTTCCCATCCTTTCCCAGTCCACTTCTCCTAGGCGGGACCATCTTCAACCACCCCTATTAATTCAAGGCAGGTTTCTCTAAACTGGTGTCTTCAAGGCCAAGGGGGAAACCGAGGCACAGAAACCCAACCCTTCCAATGGGGGACTGCTTGGAGGAAGGAGCCTGGATCATAACTTATGAAAACACAGATCCACGTGTAGGGATGTCAGGAAGCTTGTGTCGCAGCTTCCAATAATGGAGAATTTCAAAGACACCCCAAAGTCTGCAGACTTTCTAAGGCTTGCCTTGCCATTTCAGAGCTAAACATTCTCTTCCAGGAGCTTGACTTTCTAATTTTGCAAAGATGCACAAGAGCATCCGAGCCTATTAATACAATACAATACAATGGCAGAGTTGGAAGGGATCTTGGAGGTCTTCTAGTCCAACCCCCTGCCTAGGCAGGAAACCCTATAGCGTTTCAGACAAATGGCTATCCAACATCTT